ACCACGCGACCGAACAGATCGGGTGCGGGTACCCCCGTGGCTGCGCACTCAGCAGGCGCTAATAGAAAAATACGTACACCAAGCGGGGGCCGGCGATACACCAGGCTGGTCACGCCAGTCTACATACCGCCTATGATCGCGTCCTCTACGCGCTTGCGCTGCGAATTAGCTCACATGGCACACAGCGGTCGCCTGCGATTAGCTCACCATGACATACAGCGGTCGCCTGCGATTAGCTCACATGGCACACAGCGGTCGCCTGCGATTAGCTCACAGGGCACACAGCGGTCGCCTGCGCGAGTGCAAAAGCGGCCATGTAACGGTAACACCATCAGACACTACACTACGATACGATACGTACAATTAATGACATGTATGTGTAAATGAGGCTGGCTGCTATAGACGCCGTACGCAACACATATCTAGAAGGAGGCTTGAACAAGGTTCCCCCCGGGGGAAATCAATGTTGAGATTCTACGTGCGCATCGGTTGGCCTCATAAGTGATCCCATCGTTTGGTGTGGTCACATTCCATACAAAATACTAGGCGCTGCTGAGAGACGAGCAAAACAAGAAAGCCCTCAGTCATCTGTCTGTCTGTCTGTCCGTCTGTCTGTTCGTCTGCATCTCTCTCTCCTCTCTCTCTCTCTCTCTCTCGCTCTCTCTATCCTCTTCTCTCTCTCTCTCTGCTCTGCTCTCTCCTCTCTCTCTCTCTCTCTCTCTCTCTCTGCTCTACTCTCCTCTTTCTCTCTCTCTTCTTCTCTCTCTCTCTCTCTCCTCTCTCTCTCTCTCTCCTCTTCTCTCTCTCTCTCTCTCTCTCTCTCTCTTCTCCTCTCTCTCTCTCTCTCTCTTCTCTCTCTCTTCTCTCTCTCTCTCTCTCTCTCTCTCTCCCTCTCTCTCTCTCTCTCCCTCTCTCTCTCTCTCTGTTCTACCTCTCTCTCTCTCTCTTCTCTCTCTATCTCATTCTTGCTCTCTCCCTCGCTTTCTCTCGCTTTCTCTCGCTCCCTTTCGCTCTCCTACTCTCTCACTCTCTCGCTCTCTCCCTCTCTCTCTCTCTCTCTCTTCATCTTTCATTCTTAAACGTTTTCCCCCGACATTCACCCACGCTTGAAGCATACAAATACATTCCGACCGCAACAGGCAATGGAAAATGACGAAAACATGCTGATGCAGCTACATTTGTACTACGAAACTGTTACTGAGAACGCAAGCCAACCAGCGATGCAACGCACAACTGAGAGAACACCATACGCTCTCCGTGGCCATGACCGGGACAGGTCCACTCGGTCTGCCGAACACCGTGGTTTGCTGCGGCCCACGACAGGTGGCCAATGTGCGGCAGTGTTTGTCCGGCACGCCGAACTGCACTAGAGCTCAATCTTTGCGGAGTGGTGGCGCCGGCGGCGTCGAGCCGTGGTGACAGCTACTCCCTAGCCTTGTCAGTGGCGTCAACGCCGTCCGCGGCGTTCTTGGTTCCGACGATGACGGCATATTCGGTCTTCTCAGCGGAGGGTCGCACCTCGGTCTTCACCCCGTCCGAGTTGAGCAGCAGCTCGGCGTACACCGTCTCGCCCTCCTTCTTCTCCGGCTGGTTACCGTCCGGCTCGCCCTCCGCCTTGGTCAGCCCCCGCGTCTCGTCCTGCCGGGGGAGGCGCGCGCCGTCTCACACTGGAGCAGGTGCACCACGACTATGCGGTTCTCGGTAGCTGCGGCAGTGGCCACTTCACTCGTTGCACGTCAATAGTGAGCTCTCCCTGCTGAACATAAGCTTACCACTCGCTTGATGGCTTATAGCAATTTAAGCTTACGTCCTGCTTCTTGATTAATGTTGCGCCAAGAAGGTCGCATGGGCTGCGTTTTGTGATCATATGATAACTTGAAATGGCACTGATGCATCAATGTTTAGATGCTGGACTTAAACCTGTATCTTAGCTTTCTTTTATTATTGATTCTCGCATTGCTCAGCGTCACCCCATGCTCTTATTCACAATTCGAAATTTTCTAAGCAAACTTGCTATTACTTCGCATGACAGCAGCTGACAACATCTACAAAACTTTTTGTAAAGATCTTTGATTGATCGGTACACAGAGTCACCACATTTTGTATGAAACTTTCCAAACTCCTGCGAAGTCTTCAAAGCTAGGGTCGCGGAAGATGACGATTGTGCTACGTATCAGTTCAATGAAATCTCATAAACTATGGCACTGCTGAAAAACAGGACATAGAAGTACACAATAGGAGAAATAAAGTAAACACCATAAGTGAAACGTAACATGTCAAGGGGTCACAATCATGGCTGAAGTCAAAAGGCATACAGTGCCGATGAATGCATGTCAAAAGGCAAAGGTCAGATGGAACAAAAGAGACGAACGAAATGCACGTCCAAAGGATACAAGAACAATAAAAAAACAGCTAAACCTTAATACCAAACGCTTTACAATGAGGGGGGTTCAGTGACACTGACGCAGTCGACCGCACGGGGCCCTTATCCGGACCAAAGCCGGAGCACCCCGCGCCTCCGGCCGGATACCAGGCCTGTTCGCCCATAGACATGTACCTGCCGGCTGGGACTTCTCTCACATGTTAGCGGGGTGTCTCCGTATAGACTAGTGAGAACAGATGGGAACGTGTCGTCATCTGCCGACTGGGGCAAAAAAAGTATTTGCCGCCACATTTTTGAAGGTCCTTAGTATCCAAATTGAACCTGTAGTTACATAGATGTTTTGAATCAAGATGCCTCTTTTCTGTATCAGGACGTCGCGTTAATGAATTAGGCCCCATTTGGGCTGGGGAGACGCCGTTTCCTATTTGCAGGCGGGGGCTGGCTGGCTCGGGAGGATTTCGACTCGGGAGACCCCGTTTCGTATTTGCAGGCGGGAGCTGGCTGGTTCGAGCGGTCCCTTTATGAATTAGAAGGCCTTTGCTCCCGACTTATACGTACCCGCCATAAATTAGGGAGCCCATGATCTGGACCAGGACGTTCCCATACGCATCATGTCGTGCGCAAGAAGGCCCTGTTTCTGATGAGGAGGCCCTGTGGCTGAATGAAGAACCGCCTCACTAGAATGAGGGCCCGTGATTCATACCGCATCTCGCGATCGTTCTTCCTTTGGTAAGACATTTACCCATGGCAATTCGTTTTTGACCTGCACTAAGGTGCACGGGTGTGTCTCCACTCGCTGATTTCTCTAATCAAACACGATATACACGCCACACATTCCCGAAACAGAAAAGCTTTGGTATGGCGCACAGAATAATGACAACCGGACTGCCATATGCCCTTTTTCTGCGGAACATTCAAGTGATCTGAACTAACGTGGGCCATGAGTTGTCTCGTCATGCTCTTCGTTTTATTTACTGTCGGCACATGGTGAGCTCACCACTCATAGCACAAGACCGATAGCTCACCACTGGCAAAGAGACATATTCAGAGCCAGTACATCAGTGACCTTACAGCTCCAAAAGGACGAGTCTGGTACGGATTAGACAGCCCAAGCATCCAGATCCCTGATTTTTTTTGAACTGTGGCCTCTAGAATGTCTGCTTACAGAGCCCATGATACAACATGCAACTGATTGCAAAACATCTGTGCCACGTGGTTAGGAAAAGTATGAATGTTCAGCGACAAAAACAAGCCAAACCGCATTGTACAGGAGTTCTGGTGATCTTCATCAAATCGTCATGCTAGTTTTTTTTGTCAAGCATCCTAACGAGTTACACCAAAACACACGGACATATTGGGACACGAGTGGTACCATCTGATGCGCCGCCGTCGTAATAAGCACTGTAAGCTTGGATTGGGTCGGTGGCGTGTCGCAAAGGATGCTTGTCGTCACCCGGACATCTGCCGGATGCAGGGCAAACGGGGCATCCCACTGACTTAAGATCCAGGTGGGCTCCATCACGGGCATGAACCCCAACACGAGGTGCGAGCTCCTGTGGCTGGCAGCCGCGCGCAGTGAGCTGTAGCCGGGGAATACTGCACATGTTCGGTGTCCACTCGTGTCGCGATTAGCCCGTGTGCTCTGGCGCGGCACGCCCGGAAGCTAGCGTGCACGCACACAAATGCACGCATCCGCAAGCGCGCGCGCGCCCCCCACACGCACACACACATGCACACACACACACATAGCACATACACACACTCATATTCATACACCCACGCGCGCGCGCGCGCATGCACGCACGTACGCACGCACGCACGAGAAATGTGCGATGTTCAAACCTCACCTTATTCTCCGCCATCTCGACGTCCGTACCAGGTCTTGCTCGACTTGAGCAGGCTAGAGGAGAAATTCGGAAATTTGAAAGGCTGCTTCTCGGGTTTATACGTTTTTTCATCATGTGCCGATTCAGTGTCACTACTGGAAAAACATTTGACAGAAACATAAACTGGGAAGCCATAAAACAAAGTCGAATAAATAAGTGTGCTTGGGAGCAATCTCATCTCGTGATCATCACGTCATTAGTGAGCCACCACATCAATGGTTGAAAACGTTCGTGAAATGAAATATACATTCATGTTCTGCATTTTAAATACACATTCCGGACACTAAAACGCAATGGGTCTTAACACGCAGAGCGCTGTATAACATATGTACGCTGGAGTTACAACGGGTCAAAGCTCGGGCCCAATGTGGGGTTTGAGCTGTGCTAATATTTTGTTCGGTATCAGACCTGGATATCTCCATGGTTTACATGTAGGTCACAGCCGCAGCTTCGCGCACGACACATAATTTTAGGTCATCGCAGGTCTCCTATAGCCTCTTTCACACCAGTTCTTGCTTGGCACGGACTTTGGTCCGCCACTTTTCACTGGCACCTACTCCAGGCGCGGAAAATCGGATGAACAGGGCTGATACATGCCGTTTGTCGTTGGCCTTGTGCAAACAGGTGATCACGTTTACTCTGGAAGCGTTTTGGTTTCATAATTATGTACCAAACCGTCATTTTGCGTTTGTGTGGGATTTGGTCCCATTGACGACCAAATCACAAAAAAGAGTACCGCAAACGTGAATTGGCGAATAGCACACAATGTAGAAAGAATGGAACTTAACGGCTATTTGATAGCCCTTAACACAAGCCATAGGCCTGTGTTAAGCCATACCGTTTATCTTCGTCTTCAAGCATTTCATATTTGACAACCAATTAAGCTCCATGTATTAACGTTTGCGGCGAGGGGGCTATTGTATGAAAGGCTCTGTCACATGTGGTATTGAAGTACGTCAGCAGGGAATGTTTTGATGTGAAACGAGAACTCCGCGCTGTATACGTTCGGAAGCACATCAGCTACCAAAGCATCACATGCGCCCTGCGTGAGGCTTTTATAGGGCAGCTAATGATAATGTTTCTGAACAAATATTGGGTGTATGATTTACCTAATGTGCATTCCTGCATCAGATATAACGCCAGATTGAAGCCCAAACCTAGCTATGGGCCGATTTGAGCTTTAACTGGGTTTGAGCTGAGTTTGTGTGGCCCTCGTTTCGCTCATTACAGCTCATTATGAAAAGGATACAAAGCTGGCCTGAGCAGTTCTTGACTGGCATCTAATTCCCAGGCACGTTATATCACCATGCCTTAACACCACCAGGTCATGCTCAAGCACCTCCTCTGATGTAAGTAATTACGGAGGTAAACAATTAAACGCAATGCCAAAATTTTCAATGCTGTTCAAGGTTCACTCAACACGTATTTACAAAGGCATTTAACAATAAGTTCAGCATTTTATTTATTAAACATAATGTGTATCTGCCATTCAAAGATAAAACTTCATATGCTCATGATTGACCATTCGCTTTATCATGTCATTTGATGCGTCTTCTATAGCGAAATTCGGTTATTTAAATCACTAGTTGAAGTTTTCTCAAACTTTTAGCACTTTCTTTTAGCTAAAAGTTTTAAAAAGTTCAATTAATGCCTTAAATAACCCAACTAAGCTTGAGATGACGAATCAAAGGATATGGAAAACGTACAGTGGCCAAAAATGAACATGTGGCGCTTTACCTTTGGATGGCAGATATGGTGTAGCTTGGCCTTTCCCAGCATCGCGCTGTAGCGATCTAAGGTATGTTCACTGTAAATTAAACCTACCTGCTCTCAAGGTTTGTTCATACGTAGCCGATTTAGCGACATCTGATTTGTAGCTCTTTTATTTTCTTATCCGTAGTGCACGTTTCTTCAAAACCAACTACATTGCGATGGCACCCAAGTGGTCAAAAAACGTCATGAGATGTCATATTGAAATTAACCGAATATGACTACCAAAATAACGAGTGGTTGCAGCCTTTCGCTACTTCAATTTTTCCGAGATTTTTCCATCACACGCCCGTATGTGTTCATCGGTTACCGAAATTAATACATGGCCTGTGGGATTTCTTTCTTCCACGCAACTTTTGTAGCGTAATCAAGCATCCGCACATATCACCAGAGCATCATGCTCATCCCTCCTCTCCTCCCGTTACTCGCGTTGAACTTGTATATGTTGTAACGTGGAGGCTGACGTCACGTAATTGGGAAGCATAATTTATTGCTGGAGTCGTGTTATGCATGTCGCTAGCTTGCTGGCCAT